AACCTTCTATATACAACAAATAAATTTTACCATATTAATAAAATTATATTAGTGTTATTTAAGTAATAAGAAAATATGGTAAGTTTACTTGTTGTATATAGAAAGTTGGCTCCATTATGGAGCCAACTGTTGGTTTCATAACAAAACCGTAAATTAAAATAGATAAGAAATATGAATCATTTATTTATTTAAAAAAAAAAATATAACTGGACAAAATAAAAAAAAAATAAGATGATGTGGAAAATAATCAAACAACCGGATTCTGAGAATATGTTTTTCCTTAGTTTTGCACAAAAGACGGATTTTCAAAATTCGTCTTTCTTCAATGACATGATTAACCCTAATTAATTCAACCAAAAATAAATTTTCAGAATTCGTGTTACATAAAACGGATTTTCACAATCCGTTTTACATGGTAAAACGGATTTTCAGAATTCGTATTTATTTATTTATTTAGTTATTTATTTATTTTTATATTTATACGTAAAACGGATTCTCAGAATCCGTTTTCCAGAAAAACAATAATTGGTAGAAGGACCCCGGATTCGGGACTTAAACCCGGGTAGGAGAGTCTGTTTTCTCCGGACACACCTCCTACCATTAGGCCGCTAGGCTATCGCGTTTATTTTTGTGCAAAATTTGTTTTTATAATTCAATATCAATATTTTTATAGTGTATAGTTTTTTTAATATATAGTATATACGTATATATTATAATTTACCATAATATATACATATATATTACAAACAATATAATATATACTATATAATACCATATATTATATAATATAATATATAGTATATAGTATATAGTATATAGTATATGTTATATACTATAAACTATAACATAGTATATATGTTATATGTTATATACTAATTCGAGTTCGATTACACTATAATTGACTGAGATTATTATATACTAATTCTTAGAATCCGTTTTTATTTGTTTATTTATTTTTAAGTTAGGGCTCGACTCTTGGATGCTCACGAACTCGTTTACTAGCGACCGCGTTTATTTTGGCTGAATTTTTATTCTTATCCTTCAATATGAAGGTTTTTTTATAAATTTTGATTTAACATTTTGAACACGAAATAATTTCACTTTAATATCAATTCATTCGACAAATAATAATCTAGCATGCATACATACACACGAAACACTATATACAAAAAGTCAACCACAATTACCGATAAAAAAAAAAAGTGAACCACAAAATATGTACACAAAACTATCAAGAATAAATATCTCAAAATCCAGTACAAAAAATAAAAGAAAAAAAGAAAATGTCCACAAAACTAACTAACTAGGAGTATATGGATTCGCAGGCTTTGCATATTGGGGACCCTTTCTGAGGAGGCCGTGGTACCGAATAAGATGATGTTGCGGTCGGTCCAGGCGTGACTGCCTCTTCTTCTTCTTTACCTAATTAATTAATTTTTGTAAAAAATCAGTAATTCGACCGGATAAATAAATAAAAACAAACAAAAAAAATACATATTTGTAGTTAAGTAAAACAAATCTCACATTCTTCGTCTTCTTCAGTCCTGGGGAATGCAGCGGCGGGTTCGCGGTCACGACGTCTTCTCCCTCCAACCCCCCCCCCCACCAATGTGGCCCACCGGTCTATGGCTCGTCTGTTGGGACTGTGTCTGCTGGGGTGCGGCGTACTCCTCTTGAGATAAAATTTGCCCCGACGACGCCCCTTGTGTGACCCACTGGCCGCCAACAGTCAGAGAAGCGTACAGAAGTTCCTGGCTCTGCTGGAACGCTCCGTGCATTCGGGGAGGTAGCGTATCAAACATGTCTTGAACATTCGATAGCGTGTTATACGCCCCCTCCGTACCCGAAATCTGAAAATAAAATTCAAATAACTATTATGAACAGCTAAAAAAATAATAACTTAAATAATAATGAAAATAACAAATTACCAGACACTTACCTAACACTTCAACCGGTCGGCACATGGCTGAAACCCGTCGTCCTGTGAGATCGCCGCGTAGTTGTTAGGGTCATTGAATAGTCTCACAGTCCGACTGTGATACCAATCAATGTACCCCTCTGTCGGCTGCAGGAAACGATCCACCGATACATCTGGGAGGACATTCTGATCTCTCTCGCCGGTCCAAATCCTCCCAAGATCAGAATGGAAGGCCCGCCAATCGGTATATGCCCTCCCAATCATACTCTGGCCTTTCATGGATAGCTAAACTCATCAAGTATCTGAAAGTAATTTCATCCATGACGGGGGATTATGTCTCATCATAATCGATCTCAGGCCTTTGGGAGAATCCCTGTGCAACAAGGCGAGCTTTATATCTCGTGATCTCATTTTTCTCATTTCTTTTTCTGGTAAAAACCCAATTGTATCCAATAGGTTTTATGCCTTTTGGTATAATGGAAATAGGCCCAAAAACGTTTCGTTTATTGAATGAATCTAACTCGGCTTGGATGCCGCCTTTCCATTTATCCCAATCATGTCTTTTCTAACATTCAGTTACAGATTTTGGTTCAGGATCCTCAACTTCATTATCAATTTCTTTCGATACCATATATGCGAATGCATCATCAATATTTATGATTTCGTCACGCTTCCAAAGATTCCCATTATTTACGTAATTGATGGAATTTCAATGTTTTCATTTCATCCCGAAATGTTTCCATCATCTTGATTCATTTTCAAGTTCTGGTCATGAATTTCTCTTTTCTTTCGAGGATTCTTATCTTTAGACCCAACCGGTCATCCTCGTTTCAAGCGTGTCTTTGACTCATTTGGCATATCGTCGTTTGCCATTTCTTTTCGAATCTCAATTCGAGCAGGGGCATTTACAGCTGCTACATGTGATTTGGTCACCCATTTTAAATCAGTAAATGCATCTGGCAATTGATTTGCAATATTCTGTAGATGTATGATCTTTTGAACTTCTTGCTCTCTTTGTTTGGTGGGAGGATCAAGATATGCTAGTGATGATGTACTACATTCAATATTTCTCTCAATTGATTTTTCATTCCACCTAAGGGGGGAAACAATTCTTCATTAAAATGACAATCATCAAACCGAGCTGTAAAAACATCACCTGTTTTTGGCTCAAGGTATTTAACTATTGATGAAGATTCATATCCAACATATATTCCCAAATCTTTGAGGCCCCATTTTGGTACGTTGGGGCAGAGCAATTTGTACATACACCGCACAACCAAGAATTCTTATATGTGCAATATTTGGTTCTCGACAATATGCCAACTGTAATGGCGTGGTCTTATTCGAATTAGATCATCTGCATGCAGAATAGCATGTCCCCATACTGAAGCAGAAAGTTTTGTTCTCATTATCAACGGTCTAGCTATGAGCTGCAGTCGTTTAATCAATGATTCTGCTAGACCATTTTGAGTATGAACATGTGCCACAGGATGTTCAACATCAATTCTCACTGCCATACAATAATCATTAAATGCTTGAGATGTAAACTCACCAGCATTGTCAAGTCTGACCTTTTTGATAATACAACCTGGGAATTGAGCCCTTAACTTAATAAGTTGGGCGAGTAATTTAGCAAATACCACATTTCGAGTTGATAACAAACTCACATGAGACCATCTACTATAGGCATCAATCAACACCATAAAATATCTGAATGGACCGCAAGGTGGATGAATAGGTCCACATATCACCATGAATCCTTTCTAAAAATAATGGTGATTCATGTCCGATTTTAGTGTGTGATGGTCTCACTATCAATTTCCCTTGAGAACATGAGGCACATGTCAATTCATGCGTTTGCAATATCCTCTGATTTTTTAATAGATGGCCATTAGAATTTTCAATAATTCTTCTCATTATTATCGAGCCAGGGTGGCCAAGTCGATCATGCCAAGGTTTAAACATTCTTTTCGACTTTGAATTGGCTGCAGCATAAACCTCGGTCATATTAAAAATGCGGGTATAATATAAACCCGAGGATAAAGCGGGTAGTTTCTCCAAAACACATTTGTTTCCCGCAATATTTGAGGTAATGCAAAGATATTCATCTCCCCCTTTATGCATTGTTCCAATGTGATATCCATTCATTCTGATATCTTTAAAATTCAACGGGTTTCTTGTTGATTTTGGGGAGAATAATGCATCATTCACTATAAATTTTGTACCACCCATCATAAAAAATATGGCCTTTATAGACCCCTCAATTATTTTTGCACTTCCTGATATTGTGTGCACTTTAGTTTTATTTACTTCTAATTGAACAAAATATTTTTTCTCTTTATGTGTAGTTTGGGTAGTGGCACAATCTGTAAGACATATATCTCCATTTTGGATTCGTGATTGTTTCATGATCTAAAACAACAAAAAAAATATTATTGATCAATTTCCAAATACATAA